AACGACGTTATTCAAAATTACAATGTAAAAGCAGAAAATTTAAAAGACTACATACTAATTAAAAATGCTTCAGAAAATAAAAATAATAGTAAAGAAAAATTACAGAGACTAAATAAGCACTTTCCACAATTTGCTAGCCAACAATTAAATTCATTGTGCGCAGAATATATAGACATATTTGCATTATAAACAAAAACTACATATGAAAGATGAACAACCAGTTTATGTAAAAAATTACAGATTACCACAGGCTCATAAGGATGAAATAAATTAACAAGTAAATAAACTAATTAAAGATGACATAATAGAACCACCTATGTCAGAAGACAATAGCCCCATCCTATTAGTACCTAAAAAATCACTACCAGGCAACAAAGATAAAAGATGCTGATTAGTAATTGATTACAGAGCAGTAAATAAAAAATTAACTGCAGATAAATTCCCACTTCCAAGAATTGATGATATCCTAGATCAAGTAGGAAGAGCAAAATATTTCTCATGTTTGGATCTAATGTCCGGTTTGCACCAAATAGAATTGGACCCGGATTCTAGAGATGTTACATAGTTTACAGCAGACGATGGCATTTATCGTTTCAAAAGATTACCCTATGGCTTGAAAGTAGCACCCAATTCCTTCCAAAGAATGATGACTTTAGCATTCGCAGGTCTTAAACCCTCACAAGCATTTTTATATATGGATGATTTGGTAGTATTAGGATGCTCCGAAAAGCATATGATGAAAAATCTGCGGGATGTATTTTCAATTTGCAGAAAATATAATTTGAAGTTACATCCTGGTAAATGTTTATTTTTTAGTCAAGAAGTTACTTATCTTGGACATAAACAGGCTAACCTAATATTCGCGGCTTGCGTTTTGGTACGCATGCCGTCGAATTTGTTTTTTTGCGTCACCCGAAATTGACTTGCATGCGTTTGCATTTGATTTCATTGAGCGAAACGTCAAATCAAAATGTCAAGCAGAACAAAAATTGGAAATTGAGTTAGCTTCATACGCACGCCGTTCAATTTCGGTTGATCTCATACAAGTTGCATGTGCATGAGGAATTTTTGACAATAAATTGGCGGCGTGCGAGAATATTAGTTAGCCTGTAATGCACAAGCAAAAGAATTTTACCAGATCCAAATAAATTCGAAATTATTAAAAACTACCCAGCTCCCAAAACTGCTGACGAAGTCAAACGATTTGTTGCATTCTGTAAGTATTACCGAAGATTTGTACCAAATTTCGCAGAATACTCTAGAATTTTAACAAGACTTTGTAAAAAGAATTTTTCCTTCAATTGGACAGAAGAATGTCAAAGAGCTTTTATTTATTTGAAAAAAGCATTGATTAGCCCAAATATCCTACAGTATCCGGACTTTTCTAAAGAATTTTGTATCACAACAGAAGCCAGCGGCTATGCCTGCGGCGCAGTACTTAGTCAAGAATATGAAGGCAAGCAATTACGAATTGCCTACGCGTCAAGATCATTCACAAAAGGGGAAATTAATAAAGCAACAATTGAAAAAGAATTGGCGGCAATTCACTGGGTAATTACTTATTTTAGACCATACGTTTATGGCAGAAAGTTTTTAATTAAAACTGATCATCGACCTTTAACATACCTTTTTTCAATGAAAAACCCTTCCTCCAAATTAACCAGAGTTAGATTAGTTTTGGAAGAATATGACTTTGAGGTGGAGTATATACATAGCTGGAAAAGAAAATTATATAGCAGACGCACAATCGCGAATAGATATCAAAAACCCAGAGAACGTATATTTATAGAGAAGGTCCAAGAACTGTGAATGCCACATTTTTCGAGCCAACAAAACTGGCGAAGCGCATTTTAAGAGCGACAAATATTTGGAATACTTAACAGCGAAAGCAAAATACAAAGCAGAAAAGAAGAATGTTAACAGAGCTAAATCTCACGAGAGCGTTTGGAATGTTAATTAAATATGAATATTGATGATTTTTGCGAGATTTTGGCAAAATTTTCAAAGAGAAATTAATAATTAATAGATTAAATTTTTTTCAATGATTTGTACAAGTAACATGAAATTAAATCGAAAATAGTATATAACAATCCCGATTTTTGTGATATTTTATTAATAATTGCAAATAGAAAAGTCCCATGAGTTTGTGTTTTTTGTGAAAATATTTTTTGATAAAAAAATCCTTTTCCCCGGTGATTTCCACAAATACCGTGAAAATAAATCGAAAATGTTATATACCATTTTTCGAGTTTTGTAATATGTTGTTAGATTTTCAATTATAAAACTTTATTGGTATTAGATTTTTTTGTAAATAGAGTTTTTAGGAGAAAAAATTATTTCTTCTCGGTGATTTGTACACACAACGTTAAAATAAATCGAAAATATTATATAACATTTTCCAATTTTTGTGTTATTTTCAAGTAAAAAACTATTGGTATTGGACTAAAAAAAAAACTGTGAAAAGAATTATTTTCCTTTTTTTGTAGAGATCTCACAAAACTAAGTCGGAAGTCTGTATGAATTTTTTCCATATTTTCGATATTTATGGAAATAATTCAGTTTTTAATTGTTTTCGACTTGGAAACTTTTTTTAAAAATACTAAAAATCTGAAAACGTCCGATTTTCCCAGCAATTAGTAAAAATCTCGCTAATCTAAGCCGAAACTACTTAAGAAATTTTTCAAAATTTTCAGTATTTAGGGAAATGATGCAGTTTTCAAATCTTTTCTAGTGCAAGAAGTTACCATTGGATGGGTGGCAGCTTCGCTACTCATGTACATACATATTTGTCCCCCACATTGTCATTTACATATCTAATTAATTAATAAACCTAAATTTATAAAGCACATATTTGTAAACTGCATTTCATTGATATTACCTATTTCTGATACCAAATTTTTCATGCATCTAAAAAGACAAACAAATGAAAATGTAAGTATGTATGCATTTATAAATGTACAAAAGTACATACATATATACGATTGTTCTGCTTTCGTCTTCCCCGCGCCGCTTCCATCAACACATTCTATTTCTGCGAATCGCCACCAGATTGGCACGTGCGCGAAACCATTAACCCTACGTTTGCGAAATATTTAGATTTTTGCATAACCTTGAATTTAATAAAGCAATTCTTTTACATTTTGTATGGAGAATAATAATAATTAATTTAAAATTCTACCATGTTCTCGACGATGCATGTAACTTTCATGAAGATTAAACATAAAAAGCGTTGTAAAATAGTGTGTTATTAACAGGTGCAACCAAAAAAACTATGTCCGCTAAAATGGGTTAAACACTGACTGGAATTGGCATTTTTTACACGCATACATGCATACTTTCATATACACATGTACAGTGGAGTACCACTAGCTTGGACATTACATTGCTTGTACTTTGATGTGTTTGAATTTTTTACGGTACTGAAGATTTGCTTACGGTTGAAAAATATTAAAAATCGTCCGTGCATATATGTAAATATATTTTTATAAACGCTTTGAAGTATAGAAAATTTTAATATTAAAAAATAAATAAAATAATTTTTTTGTATATATATAAAATTTGTTCAAGGCACATTGACCCACCTGTACAAAAATTGTGGCTCGTCATGGACAAAAATTTTACAATTTCGGACCGAAAAATATGAAAACGAGCTAAGTTGCCACGTTACATATGTGAACTTCCGATAAAACCACATATTTTTGTGATTTTAGAAGTTTTGATTTTATTAAAAAAAAAATCAATGTATTTTCCTGCAGAAAACGTACACTTTTATTTAATGTTTATTAAAATTACATCTCAAAAACTAGTTAATGATTGAAATATTGATAAGGAACATAGAAATAGAGTGTTTTGCCAAAAATTACCAAAAATTTCCAAAATTCGAGATAACTTATTTTACTGGATATAGAGAAATAGTTGCCACTTTTCACTTGGCTGGCCGAGATTTTTTCATTTTAAGATTTTAGAATTTTTGTGTCGGATTGAAAATGTTGAGCTTGATGGTGATGAATTTGCGGGGAGATGTGCTGCGGTTATTTTTATGAATGAATTTACTTGGCCTTGAGAAATATGCGCATGCGGTTATGAAAGAATTAGTTATTGTTGGATTTGAGTATGCGTGTAATCAGAGAACTTAGATAGATAGAGAAGGTGCAAATTTTTGGAACGTAAAATTGTTTGGCTGAAAAATAAATCCATGGAATATCTCCACAGCGCGATTAACATTTAAAGAAGAGTTAACAGAGAAAAATGTAAATTTCTGTTATGATAATGTTATATTTGTTACAAGTATCGTCTGGCTATGTGTTGCTAGGTTGCAGGTGAATGCAGAAATATATTCATGTGTATTTTTTATAAAATTAAATAAATTAATAATAATAATAATACTAATAGATTGGCGCTTACACATATGTTAGGTTTTGGCCGAGCTTCTCCTCCGATATGTGGCGTGCGCCTTGCTGTTGTCACACAAAGCGGAGGGACCTACAGTTTTACGCCGACTCCGAACGGCGATTGTATTTTTATGAGAAGCTGTTTTTCATGGCAGAAATACACTCGGAGGTTTGCCATTGCCTGCCGAGAGACGACCGCTGTTAAGAAAAAACCTTTTTTCTATATTTTTGCGATGTTGCTTTGACCAGGGTTTGAACCCAGGTGCTGCGGAGTGGAAGCGCGCACTGCTTACCACTACACCACAGCGGCCGACTAATTATTAATTAAATAAATTAATATAGTTAAATTATATTAAATGTACTTTTATATTAGTTAGAATTGCTGATTTGCATATCTGCATGACCATTTGTTAAATATAATTTATTCAGTAGTTAATATTGCTAAAAACTTAAAAAGCATCTTTTCAAGTTCACTTCTTGTACGAGTATTATATTATGTAATTAGTAAAAATGCATGTTAGTTAAAAACAAATGATAAAATTGGATTTTTCACATACTCAGTTTAAAGATGGACGCATTAACAAAAAAAATGTACAAAGCAATGCACTTGTTAACTTCAAAGTTGTTTTTGACTTTTACTGCAATACTCGTAGATATTATTGGTATATAATAGTTCTGTAGTGCGTTTCTGAATCTTATTTTAACCACATTTCACGTTGTTATCTCTAGTTAACAACTTTTTTTGGGGTTAAGTGATTGTGTATCAACTTTAACCATATTTGTCATTGTTTAGTGTTAACAAACGCAGTCAGCTGTTTGGTGACAATTATTTTTGTGGTTAAGCTAACAGCATCTAGTTTTTCTTTGTTAAGTTGTTGTTTACTAATTTTGCTGTGAAGTTAAATTGAGAAAATTGTGAAGATTGTGTTAAAAAATGGCATTTGCATACATTGCATCATATTTATATGATACCGATAATGAGCAGCGATTAAACGTGCCAAGAATTGACCGGCGTAGGCTTCGCGAAATCGATAACCCTTTCGAACTAACGTTAACGGAGTTCCGGAGGCTATATAGACTCAGTCCCGGCATGGTTGAAAATTTGGTGTCTCAACTTGACAATCAATTAAGAGGATCGCGAATAACAGCGTTATCGACTGAAAAGCAGGTAAGTCAATATACATGTATTTCAACTTTATTAAATATTATAGGTGCGTTCCAGCAGTAGTACGAATTGCAGGGTCTGAAGGTTTCAAGGATTTACAGAAAAAGCTGCTTTTAACTTTAATAAACCTTATGTGACGTGGAACAGCTTTTTCTGTGAAACGTACAATTGCTATTACCGCTAGAAAGCATCTTGTATAAGCATGTGTTTATGTACTCGTTGAAGGTTCTAGCTGCTCTACGGTTTTATGCCACTGGATGCTATCAACGCCCAGTAGGTGAACAGTGGGGCATATCCATGAGCCAAACATCGATAAGCCGTTGCATACACCGTGTGACTGACGCAATCAACAATTCAATGTTTACCTCCAAAGTGAAGTTCCCTATGACGCAACTGGAGTGCCAAGCGGCAAAGGAAATTTTTGCGTCTGCACCTTCACCATTTGTAGCAGGAACTATCGGTGCAATCGACTGCACCCATGTTGCAATTTTGGCTCCCAAAAATAATGAATCAAATTATGTCAATCACCATGGGTACCATTCGATGAACGTGCAAATGGTAAGAACAAATGTACAACATGAAAATTTATATTGTTATTTTATAATGGTTCAAACTTATAGATATGTGATCCAAATCTTAAGATTTTAAACGTGAATGCAAAATTTCCGGGAGCACGACATGATTCGTTTATTTGGAGCTTCTCTGCAGCGCGTCGGGTCATGCAGCGATCATTTGAAACTGGAAATCACAACACGTTTTTGATAGGTAAGTTGTTTTAATTCCATACGAATAGAAATATTAAAAGAAAAAAATTTCAGGCGATTCTGGATACCCGCTGGAGCCATGGCTGATGACACCTTTACCAAACGAGCCAGAAGGAACACCAAAGTTTCGCTACAACGAGGCGCTATGTAAAGCACGTAACCCGATCGAGAGACTCTTTGGCGTCCTTAAAGGCACATATGGCGGTGCTTATCACGGCAAAGAGTACTTTTGTATGACCCCGGCTTTGCTGGCCGAGTAGTTAACGCGTGCGCAACATTGCATAACGTTCGTTTGGGCGATCAAACAACCGCTTTTGACGATCGGGTTGTTTATGATTCCGAAATACTAAGCACTAATGATGATTCCGCAGCACCTTCTTCAGTAGCAAAACGTGTTCAGCAACGAATTATAGCAAATTTTTTTTAAATATTCGTATAACTTAATATATGCCGTCAACGATCGTCTCGATAGTAGGCCAGCCATCCACCAAGAGACGCAAGTAAGTACCATTATAGCAAATTATATCAACTTAGTTATTTTACTTGAGTTCGCTTTTATCATGAATGACTGCCTTTATTTGTCATCCGTTTTTTTATCATCTTCCTCTGCACAATAAAATGGGCAACGCTTTTTGCATTATATGTAATACATATTCAACAAATCAACAGTATTTATTTTTCACGTCCAATGAACATACTTGGCGAGCCGTTAAATGGCACCGCTAAAACTGCGAACTAACCAGCTAAATTTATTGATTTTTATACCTCAATGAAAAAGTTCCACACCTGCGCCGGCTTTAGTAGCAATGTATGCACGATTGCTCGTTCATACGAAATCGAACCGGTGGACATTAAAAGGATTCTTGCGTAAGCTATTCGGAAGAAGCAAGCTAGGGCTGTGCAATTAATTGATTATTCAAAACCTTAATTAATATCGTATTAATCATTATCATACTTTAAATATAATATGTTAATCGAACAAATGATTAACCAACTTGCTCGAGTAATCGAATAATCGCACAACCCTAAAGTAAACCCATATTTCATAATTGTTTAAATTTTCATTAACTCTTATAGAGCAATTGTTGCCCTCTGTTTCCAAGCATCAATACAGCCTATATTGCTGAAAATGTTCCTAAATCTATTACAAAACAACCAACCCAACAGCGCCCTTACACTGTCCGGGCGTTTCGCTTTAAACCAATAAACAACAATTGAATTTGTGAGTGCCGGTGCTGTTGTGAAGGGTTATTCATGGATACCACAAAAAGAGATACAAAACTACATCAATGCTGTTGGCATAATACTCGCTTCTCTGCCTGAGAAATGTTGGAAGGCAAATGATCCCCATAGGTAAAATTGCGTGTTCTGTTTGGTATTATTTTCAAAGGAATGTGTATACATATTTCACCATTTCAGTGAGCCGCTGATACCTATGTGTCTTCAGTTGGTAATTGCATAGTTACTGCCGCGAGTGCGGTTCACAATGCTCTTTGCCGCATTCTTTTTGGCATGGTCGTTTGTTGAACCAGCCCACATAACAGACGCTCGTTTGGCAAGTTCTATTTCCGTTGCTTGATAATGTGCGTGCGCTTTCCAGTACGGGAAGCAGTGAGAAGGTGGATGGTGCTGCCTTGAGTAAAAATTGTGAAGACTCGCTGGCCGCAATAAAATCTCTGCAAGAAATTATGCATGACAATGCAGACAAATTGGCGTCACTTGCTAACGAGGAAACAGCGGAAACAAAGATGAGGAATTTGCAGGGTGAGTTGTGTTTAGCGGGAAGTTTAGTACCTTTTTAGATCTCTTATTCATTTCTTGTACGTAGATTGCATGGAATATTTGGCTAAATACCGGCATTGAAAGCACAAAGATCACAACGAAAAACAACCATGCCAAAGAGGAGTTTTATGTGCCTAGTCAGGCATTTTTAATAGCGCTAACACAAATTTTCTAGCACATACAACTGCGGGGGTGATACATCATTGAATTCGAATGCCTTCACTGGGCGCTTGGCGGTTACTGCTTTACTACATCGATTCCAATACGTTTTGAAGCGTTTCAATGACGACGAACGGCTGATGGGCGCCGTGCAAGGGCCACAGTAGTTCATTCCGGGGTATTGGTCGTAACTATCAGTGAAGTGCACAGCTGCCAAATGCGCATTAAGTCAATTAAAGAACCAGTTTGATAACAAAGAAGGATCATACCACAACATTACCGGCACCCTGACACTTATTGAATAAGTACCAAATAAGTAAATACATATCGTCACCTGAAATGCAAAAAGACGTAACAATATCGTAAATGAGATTGAAAAAGTCGTGACTAATATTTTCATTATTTTTTTCATAAAATGATGTGGGAAGTTGTAACTCGTTGAAATCCATTATATAAATCAAAAAGTAAATTTTGAATTTTTTATTAGTTATGACTTTTTGCATTTTAACAATGATTTTTGTTACGTCTTTTTGAGTTTCAGGTGACGATATGTTTTTCTACAAATTTAAAGCAAACATATTTTTAATGACTTAACAAATTTTTCACCATTTTATGTACTCTGAATGCATGTAGACATTGAAATAACTGGGGTATCGACATTATAAATTGATTGGAAATATCTACCCGATATTATTTAGAGTGGTCCACGAAATAATAGGAATGCGATATTTTGACTCCTTTTATTTTGTGCACAACTGTTATGTACATGCACAACTGTTATATAATGCGTTATTTCAACTCATTTAAAGTTAAATACGGCATTAATTGTAACTTTTTTGTTGCAAGTTTGTTGTGGAAAGAAAAACTTATTTAACTTTTTAAATTTAGAAAAATATAGTGATAACTTGACACACGTAATAAAATTGTTGTTTTGAATCATAACCAAATTACATATATTCAACTATAAGTACATATTTAAGTTTCACTAGAAAATTTCAGTAGCCGGTAAGAAAACTAATAAAATAAAAGCAAACTATTTAGCCTCAGTATTAACTTTTTTTATTAATTTTTCTTTGATAAAATAAATAATATATGTAAATAAAAATATGCATTAAATGCTGTTATACATATTAAATATATAAAACGAAGTTTTTATTAAATTACCATTTCATTTATTTCAAAATCAGTACAATAAAATT